GCATGGATTTAATTTTCATTCCTTGACTATCCACTTTGCAAGATACACTTGCTGAAATCTTTCCTATCTAAACTCACAACTTTGTCTCAACCCATATTCCATCAAACCGGATAAATAGGGGAAAATACTACAACATGATAAATTTATTGTGAGATGCAAGCTACCATGCCTCAAACTGACGGTGTAGAGTATGTCACTCCCTTGGACACCGCCACAAACATTCGACCAAACATATTAGAATTAAATTACTAGCGCACATTTAAAAGTGTAAGTAAAAGTTTATTAGCACACATTTAAAATAGTGTATGTGGTACTCCCTCCGTTCCAAAATAGATGACTCAACTTTGTACTACTTTTGTACTAAAGTTAGTACAAAGTTGAGTCATCTATTTTGGAACGGAGGGAGTAGATGGCAATCCCTCTTGGTCGCTGCATGCATGCCCAAACTTCTTTTCCAAAGACAATGCACGCCCAAACATATAATGGAAAAATTTATAATTAAACAAAATAGTTCATTTTATATAGGTTTAAAAGATGCATGATGCACACCTGCCAGTATTTTAAAACACATGCATATATCGCCAGGTAAACCCCGGCGGATAGTGCATATACAAGCCAATACACATATACACAATGGAAAAACTAGCACAAGAGAGGCATGCCTGCATGCAAACTCTCTAGAGGCCACAATGAGAAATTAAATACGGCGCAAACCAATATACGGGTCACCATATATCGAACGACCGTCTGATGGATGATTAATTTATGCACGCACACACATATATCTATGTTGTCTTGGATCATCAGTACTTCCACATGTCATCCATACCCATGTTCATCGATGAGGTCTTGCCAACTGCTGTTGCGGCGGCGTTCCCCTGGTAGTTGTTGCTCAGCCCGGTCACAACATGTTCCTGTGACACCATCGACGATGGCCCACACCCAGGCTCAGCCCCGACCATGAAACCCCGATCTGCACCCACATACATCATCATCTGCTGATGTTGTTGGTAGAACGACAATGGTGGTGTTGGGTCTGACATCATCTGCTGGTGGTGGTTCCCGATGTAGTGGTCATTCATAATAGGAAGCGCCATGCTACCCATTATCGATGAGCCAGCACCGATGTCGCGCAATTGGTATGGAGAAGTTGTAGGAAGCAACATTGGATTTGCAAGCGATGACGACATCTCATAGCCCATGAGAGGAGGCAATGTATCTAAGTCGGCGAACCCCTGCTGATGTTCCGCTCCGATGGACATTGGCATGACATATGACGGCATCACCACCTTCTTCAGTCCGGCGCTCTTATGGAAGATCCTACAAACCACCCACTGTTCCTACAAGCATACATAAATTAAATAAGTGCAAATCAACTATGATCAGTAGCATGCCCCAGGTGTGACTCTTTTGTCACAGATGCCGATCACTTTGTCATTCACTACTCACGTCCAACACATATATCTCATAACTTGGGTATTTTGGCGGCCCTGTCCAAGTGCAAACCTCTGGAAATGGGGACACAGTGACTCCCCTAGGCCTCGATTCCAACATTTGGCCTCTGTCGACCTTTCCATCCTTTAGAATATTTAAGACTCATGAAACGCTACGACATTCCATTGCAGTATTTACTCACCTCGGTCTACTATCAAGAACACTACTGATGGTTTCCCTCTTTTTACCCATACATTCAAGTAACCTACTCAAGGAGGCCGCTATGTCATGGCCGCTTTATCTCCCCTCATGCATCGGTGCAACCTTGTAATTCTTGCCATGTATTGGCGACTTAGAGTAATATTCAAGTGGGGATTCTCCCCCTGATTGTTCAGAAAAGGTGGCTAACTAGCTAATGGCATGTTAAGAATTCATGACTACTACTATATACTATAAATTTATTATATACATTGGAAGACGCGTTGGTGATGGTGACGGTGCGGGTTGCGGTGGACGGGTTGGAAGTTAGCTGCTTGTTGCTCTCAAGCCTATACTCATGCATGATCCAGTTGGTCTTCTCCCCCCTAGGTGCCCTGCCCTTGTAGAAGACGAGCGTCTTCTTCATGCCGATGAGTGTGAGCGGCGGGTGGAAGATCTCCTTGTCCTTTCCGGTGGCCTTCCAATAGCCAGCATTCTTCGCCTGGTTCGTTCGTATCCCGGTGGGGTACTTGCGATCCTTTCGGCAGTAAAAGTACCACTCCTTTTCCCCCATCTTCGCCTTCTCCGGTAGCTCCCATGGCTCGTACTTGTTGAGGTTCACATCCTCAATCGCCGCAGCGACGAAGGCTTCATCGAGCACCTTGGGGACCACATAGAATTTTATGATCTCCTCATCCGTTGGGTGGAACCTAAACCCCGGCGGTAGCTCCAACTTCTGTTGCTGAACTTGAAGGTGGTCTGTCATGGTGGAGGCTTTCTCTGCAATGGATTCTAGGGTGATGGCAATATTGGAGGCAATCATAAATATGTAAGTAACGAAGGAAGGAATTTAATAAGCTATGGATATCCATGGAGGCGCTTAAATAGGAGTAAATACGTGTACTAGCAAGGCGCTTGCTAGAGAAGTCTTGAAATTTTTTTGCCTTTTTTAATTTTGTATCTAGTGGCACTCACTATGGATGGATAGATAGATTGCTTCCTCATCTTTACAACTATGCATTGTTTGTCCTGTTGGAGGTGCCACACCCTTGTGGTGACAAGTAGCTAGGTTTCTCCAACCTCTCCAAGCCATGACATGCCAGATTGTTCTCATTCTTGTTAATATATGAATATGTGCTCTTCGTGCTACCCCTACTCGTGTCATATGCATGCTTCTGTTTCTGGTGTTTGGCTTTTTGATGCAAGGCAAACAAACACTCACATTTGTCTCGCTAGCTGGATGTGCATATGTAGCACTGCCGCTGTTTTTTGTGATGTTTGATCTAGATGTATCGACCTATAAATACTATATATCACCTACCACACGTTTATAAAAAACCATGTGTGTTTCGTAAGTCTATGACCCCTCTACACCCAGCCATAGTTCACCATTAATTGCTAGAAATACATGGAAGGATAATTCTCAATGCCGTGGTGCCTATGGGTGTGAAACACAACCAGGGTCACATTGCTCGTGCAGGCCCGCATGCAGCATGCGCGGCCATGACCGATCTTTATCTTCCGCTGCGTAAAACCATGGCCTTTTGTATCTGTTACCACCGCTACGACTGAATTCCTTCATGCATACGCATGATTTGTCTGGAGATAATCATCCGTTACATGTTTTTTATCTGCTTTCCAGGGTGCCTTGTACTGGTGTGTACACAAATGTGTGCCACACATCCTAGATACTTGCCTTTTCTAGAAAACCCGACACGGGATATATGGATCAACCCAGCAATCAAGGTGGACATGACTATGTGCTTATCAACTGGATGCTTGGCCATATCCCAACCTTGCATGCATCTCCTCGTGCCCAGGCAGTTTCTAAAATTAATGATCAAGAGACTTTTATGGGTTTAACTTTTGCATCTAAAGGTGTCATGACCTTCTCATCAGAAGTTATGTAAGAATAAGAAGGGATTGTTGTTTAGAATGTCTGATTAGGAAATTAAATAGTGATGCTGTCATTTTGGTATTATTTACTATTGAATCCACACTTCATAAAATTGTGACATGTTTACTATGCTCGAATTTCGCTTGGGGACAAGTGAGGTCTAAACTTGGGGGAGCTGATACGTCCATTTTGCATCACTATTTCTTATTATAATGTACTCTTTATCAATGATATTTTGCACATTAAAGCACAATTCTAATGCCTTTTCCTCCTTCAATCTACATGTAACACATGTAGAGGGAAATTCACAGTAAATCACCAGACAACTGAGAACATGGTCAAAATAAAGAACAGAAGAAAAAGTATTTTTTTTAAGAGCTCCAAAAGGCCTGATTTTTTGTTTTTTTTATTTTTTTTCCTGAAGAAATGGAGCCAAAGGCCAAAACATGGACCGCATAAAAATATAAGTGTCTAGCATTGCAATTTTGATCTTTAGTATTGACAAAATCAATTTGAATAACCACACACTCTTGTGCTTGCCGATTTAGTGATTTCGGAGGTATCTTCAGAAAACGCGTTCGAGTTGCTCTGGACATTTTGCTCTAAGGAGACACACCCATCACCATAAGATTGCTCATAAAGTACTACTTGTTGAGGATAGGAGGAAGAAAAAGTATACTCGATGTTCACCATATTCTAAAGCACTCTGTGAGTCAAAACAACGAGTTAACAAAGAAAAGATATATTAGCGATAATCTGTCAATTTGGCAGTTTTATAAACAAGCAGGATCAAGCATCAGCATTGTATCGGTAGCATCTCAAATATGACAGAAGTACATCGTCTTACATTATTATCATATTCAGGAGCCATCTCTTCTGTGGAGTCCTGATAGTATCCCGAATTCATCGACCAAGAAGGCTGATAATATGTTCGAATGGCCTGTCGGGTATGTATTGTATGCATAGGGCTGTATCGCACATGACTGCTCCAAATGATCAATATTGTGCTCACTTTTTTAATCAATAAATATTGGTTTGGTTGGCATATGTTAATAAGTTCCATATATGGCGTGTCTGCTAAACTCGATGCATATAGGCAACAAAACTGGTAATATTAAGGTGAGCCGCTGGGTTTAGATACATTCTAGTCAGCAAATACTTATCAGCGACAGGAATAAAGTGGTGCGCATGTCATGTGGTTCAGCTAGCGCTCCATGTCAGGTACAATATCTGAAAAATTCATGCTACATCAACAAGTACATAATCAGCAGGACTTTGAAAGCATAATTATATTAAAAAAATTGTGATGGACAATATCCACTCATAACGAAATACATTGTAAGGACTAGGTAAGAACAATGCAAAAACAGACGTATATTAATGTGCTTCCGCTAATTTTGGCTGCAACACAAGAAATTAGACAACGTTTATTATATAATGATGAGATCACGTACGATATGATGTCTGGTTATCACGGAGGTCTGATGCGCAGGAGTGATTCCACATACGGCACCGTGTAGTGGGCAACAAAGAGCGCACCAATGTTGATTTTTCTGCCATTCCGGAGATCATACAACATGTCACGTGGCATGTTGATTACTTCTTCAAGGGATCCATCACGGAGATCACACCGGAGAAGGATGCACGCATCAACGGTGATGGATATCTTGTCCCGTTCAGTCGACGCGCAAGCAAAGGCAAGAAGCATTCTTGGTATCGGCAGGCAGACTCGGCGGCATAGTGACCAAGCCAGATTTGGTCCATCTTCCGCCAACCAAACCGAAATCTCCCACGGAGAGGTAGAGTGGATATAGCATAACTTTTCACCTAGCGCCGATAGTGAATCGTTCCCGCCTAGATAATCGCTGCACGGAGGGTTAGGGTGCACCGTAAATGTTTCATCAAGTAAACTGAATCGAAGGATGACGTTTGAGATAACCTTTGCAGGTAGTAGCATGGACTTGAGAGCACTCCAAAAGAAGGCCCCCGGGAGACAAATCGGGGTCCTGGCCTTGATAGGGTATGGCGGATCCACGGTGGCCTTCCATACCAAAGCTTCTTCCTTGCCGACATCACCACCGAATGTCAAGATCTCATGTCCGCAGCTGTATTCTCTAATGGTGCCTCCTTCTTCCACATCCATTTGTGGAATATCTCTGTAGGAGCGGATGAAGTGCCTGGCCACCTTGTAGGCGCCACTCCAGGGATCAAAGCCAAAGGCGACCCTGTGCTCATGGAGAAGGCTGGGGCTTCCAGGCGGCAACTCAACAAACTCTCCAGTGGCCGGGTTGCAGATGAAAATTTTTCCCATCAAGGCAGGGATCAAGATGAGGCCGACGCAGTGGAGAGGAATGCTGAACGCCGGGACCCCATAGGGCTGAAACTCCTTTCGGACCATAAGCTCGGCGCACTTGCTTTCGCCTGGCTGGAAGCTGAAGATGTTGAGGAATCGAGAGGCCTGGTACTTGCGCGGCACCACGACCATGGTCGACCTTGAGAGCTCCAGGTGCCTGCGGACGAAAGGAGTGCTGGTTAGTGTGGCGCGCCATGACTTGCAGACGGCTTGGAAGCACAGGAGGGACTTGACGGGAAGAAGTACCAGTATCTCGAAGAAGATTATTTCATCCGGGATGAAGCTGCTACTGCTACTGCTACTGCTACTGCCGGAGGGTAAAGGCAGTGCTGATTCCGGTGACTTCCAGCCTCTCCGGCAGGGTCGTTTAGAAATCGGGGGCTTCATCATCATATCGTTATTTTTTCCGACCAACATGAATCGGCTGTGCCCTGCGCCTTCGTTCGTACGTAGGCAGGCAGTCATATATGTAGTGGTCAGATGGGAGCGCCTACTAGTACGACTTAGACTCGGAATTTGTATCAGAAACAAAACCCGACCCCCAGCAAGACAAATCACAAACGAGTCGGTATCGTAATGAATAAGCACCACAAGAAATAAAACCTTTTGCTAAGCTATAATCGGGTTTGAACAAATGTATCCTAATCTATCTATCTATCTATCTATATCTATCTATCTATCTATCTATCTATCTATCTATCTATACCCCTCTCTCTCTCTCTCTCTCTCTCTCTCTATATATATATATATATATATATATATATATATATATATATATATACCTATACCTACCTATACTAATTCTAGACTCCCTAGAAATTATCACGTTAATCAGATTTTACGAGCCGTTAATCTGGTGGGACCGAGCTATTACGGTGTAGATCAACCCATATATAAATTGCCACTTTAATTGGAAAAAGAAAAACTTATATAATCGATTCAGTTTACATGATGGCCGATCACAAGAGTTTGTCCAACCTACGACTGCATCTCCAAATAAAATAATTATGAGCCACGTAGTGCTTTAGGAAAGCTATCTAGATCTATTTTCCTTCAAAAACTACAGACCTATGTACTGGTGCGTGACTTCATTGTCTCCTGGTACACGTACACATATGTGTATGCATGGAGTAAACCCACGCCAATCCCCACCGATTCCAATTCGCTGGGATCTCCTCTTGGGCCAACCGCTGCTAGAGCCCCCCTCCCCGGCTGTTAAGCTTTGCAATTCCTCCTCCCACGATAGAACAAGTGCCTCCTTCATATCGGGAAGACTGGCCAATAGCAGCACACTCGATCCTAAGGTCATCGGCAACTTCATCCTATGAATCAATCGCGTTGTCAAGTTGCAGGCTGGCATTTGCTCCTGATTTGTTTGGCCTCCACATGAAGACTGTAACTGGGTTCTAATTTTGATTCATTCGGCGATAGAGTATGTTTTCCCACACATACTTGAGGTATGAATGAAACTTTTATGTTGTTAGTAGTCGGCAGTAAGAATCTCATTTTTTTCATGTAAATTTGTATGATCAAGTTCGAATTTCTTATCTAATAGGTCTTAGTTTCTTCTTCCAAAAGTAGACGTGTGGATGTTTGTCGGATTCATAGAGGCAAAGAAGGATACGTAATACACATTAGTACATGGCTGACTAGGTGAATTGGACGTTACACATGGTCTTGCACCAATGTAGTTTTGGGCAGCTTTTATAAGCATCCCAGCCTCCGAGTTGACTATTTTTTATTCACATGACCTATTTGGCTAGGCCATTGGTTGCAAATAAAAAAAAAATGTACGGAAAGATGTGGTAACCTCCATGGTAAAAGAACTACCAAAGAGGCCAAGAGGCGCCAGACCAGCCCTGCTGATTTAGATTTGGTTCATGCATCATTACGCACACAAGATAGACCCCTTAGGATATATATGCTTCAATGCTCAATCTTTCAAAACAAGATAATAGCATGTATTCAATTATTTCCTTGCCTATGCATGACATGGATGTGCTTCTGGAAGTTGTAGTCCCCCAGACTCCACCAAGAGGGATTAAGTTCATACCTTTTTGAAGGATGTCCATGTTATATGCTCGACTGTCAAAGGCGTACGTGCATTTTGAGATTTAACTTTCACAATGATTTCAGTCCATGAAATCTAATTATGTCTTATGAAACTTATAGCATTGCATTCATGTCTGAAATATTTTTTCAATGATATATTTTTCAAGTTACATGACCAACGTATTACTGCCCACTTGATGGTCGTGTTTAAATTTCAAAAAGCTGCACGCCCTCTTTTTGGAATCAGAGCAAGAGTTCGTAACTTTGGAATTTCACTATCTGGAGGCTCCCTTAAGCCCACTACCACAAGGAATATAACTGTAGAAATTCCCACATTATTTCAGACACCTTGGATGTGTATATGTCTCTGGATTTAGCTTTGAGGTTGGTATGATTTTCTGGAAGACTCGTGTCCTATGTCCTTTATCATATTGGGGTCTCTTGGTAGGAGCACCTAACAGGACTTCAGTGCTCGATTGTTTCCTGGATTCGAGAACTAAGGCCTTCACTAAATACCTAACCAAATAAATCTGGTTGGCATTTTGATCCTTTGATGGTTTTTAGTTTTGTTATAGCCCTTAGTGATGATAAATTTTATTTCTTACAGAAATATATGATATTTTTGTTGAAATATACTTGATATTTATTATCTATACTACAAGAATTTTTGTATTATTTAACAACTTTTCATGAGAAAAGAAACAGGACGGTATTGGTCTTCACTTCATAAATGGGAATAATATAATTTATATACACCATAAATCTAATGTTACTATTTTCACTTCATAAATGAGAATAATATAATTTATATACACCATAAATCGAAGTTACATCCCCTAAAAAAATCAAAGTTACATAGGTTTAATTCCCACGATTAAGAATTTGAGCTATTTTCTAAGGTTTAGTTTGACGCGGCACATGAACATATGGTTTTCATTGGGTAAAGCATTTCTATTAGAAAATAATATATGATATTGTCTCAGGTTTGGTGCGGCAATTCTTCTTTGTACAAGAGGACTATTATCTGACTATAACAATGACTCTTCATATGCCCAAGTTACTATTTTCACTATTTTATTGTTTTCAAAATTGCTAGCCCGTGCAACTGCACGGGTTGACGACTAGTAACAAATAAACGGAAATACTAACGCCCACACCTGTGGGCGTTTGCATCTCGCCCACACGCATGGATCTATGTCCATTTGTGGTTGCACGAATCTTGGCATGTTTGTGATGCCACGTAGGACTGGGCTGGTGTGTGGGCATTCATCCGGTCGCCCACACGTCCGTTTTCACCACACGAAGGGACCGCTGTGTGGGCATTTAGCAGTTCGCTCGCACGTCAGTTTTCACTCATGCACAGGGGCTGGTGTGTGGGCATTTATCAGTTTCGTTCACACGCCCGTCTCCTCTCCCACACCCCAAGCTGCCAGTTGCCATGTGTTTTCACTTCATGTTAGACAGTTAACCACAGGAGAGGGCAATGAGCAGCGCAAGTAGAAAAAGAAAGTGTTACTTGACTGAACAAGGATACCTTGCTGATCTCATTAATACTCCTTCCACCACGACCAATAACAGCACCCATATGCTCATCAGCAACAGCAATAGTGACAGATTCTTGGGCATCCTTGTTGACAGGTGATCTCATTGGAGTTTTTGGCTGAAAAAATCAAGAGAAAAAGGTTGAGATTTTGCAGCAGCTTTGCACAAGGCCCAGACCATTTGGTTAACGGGCATAAACAGTAAATAATGTTCTCCACAAATAATTTTACATCCAGTATGCAAGATTAGCAAGAGATATGTCAAACTTATTTACCAAAGCATGCATGATGACACAAATTTGCACATGTAAATCAGATTAACAGTTCAAAGTCAAACCCACAATTTAGTGAAGTTTAGTTTCCTGATACTAAACTTGGCAATGATGACGAAGCTGACAGTAGTGCTTGCAACAGGACTCGTTTAGTTTAGTTTCTTGATTATATCAAAATAGGTACCCTTTTGATCTCTTGTAATAAATTGCCCACGTGTGCAAACTCTGTAAGTCAAGCAAGTTTAGCTTGCGTTGTTGAGTTGAATCACGGAATGAGAAGCTTTTTATGTTCTATATAATTATCAAGTCATTTCTGTACCCAACGGAAAACTATTTGAGATTGAGAGATGAAATGTTTTCTTGTACTAATGCAGGAAAATATTAGTACGACGATATGTTGTGTAGGGCAGACAAACTGTCGGGCATGGGGAGTAGAGCAGGGGGCGTATTGTGTAGCCTGTGAGACATCTATGTTGTTCTTTGCTGGTTAAGATTGAGAGAGCTCTAGTTTAACCATGGATTTGCTAGCGATGACGACATCTCATAGCCCATGAGAGGAGGCAATGTATCTAAGTCGGCGAACCCCTGCTGATGTTCCGCTCCGATGGACATTGGCATGACATATGACGGCATCACCACCTTCTTCAGTCCGGCGCTCTTATGGAAGATCCTACAAACCACCCACTGTTCCTACAAGCATACATAAATTAAATAAGTGCAAATCAACTATGATCAGTAGCATGCCCCAGGTGTGACTCTTTTGTCACAGATGCCGATCACTTTGTCATTCACTACTCACGTCCAACACATATATCCCATAACTTGGGTATTTTGGCGGCCCTGTCCAAGTGCAAACCTCTGGAAATGGGGACACAGTGACTCCCCTAGGCCTCGATTCCAACATTTGGCCTCTGTCGACCTTTCCATCCTTTAGAATATTTAAGACTCATGAAACGCTACGACATTCCATTGCAGTATTTACTCACCTCGGTCTACTATCAAGAACACTACTGATGGTTTCCCTCTTTTTACCCATACATTCAAGTAACCTACTCAAGGAGGCCGCTATGTCATGGCCGCTTTATCTCCCCTCATGCATCGGTGCAACCTTGTAATTCTTGCCATGTATTGGCGACTTAGAGTAATATTCAAGTGGGGATTCTCCCCCTGATTGTTCAGAAAAGGTGGCTAACTAGCTAATGGCATGTTAAGAATTCATGACTACTACTATATACTATAAATTTATTATATACCTTGGAAGACGCGTTGGTGATGGTGACGGTGCGGGTTGCGGTGGACGGGTTGGAAGTTAGCTGCTTGTTGCTCTCAAGCCTATACTCATGCATGATCCAGTTGGTCTTCTCCCCCCTAGGTGCCCTGCCCTTGTAGAAGACGAGCGTCTTCTTCATGCCGATGAGTGTGAGCGGCGGGTGGAAGATCTCCTTGTCCTTTCCGGTGGCCTTCCAATAGCCAGCATTCTTCGCCTGGTTCGTTCGTATCCCGGTGGGGTACTTGCGATCCTTTCGGCAGTAAAAGTACCACTCCTTTTCCC